TCTAGAAAATAATAAATAAAAGTTACTATAAATGGCATGTAATAAATGCTAATGGGAGTTTGACTAAGATTTAACTTACTATTTTTAAGAAATGATAAATCTTTTTATATAGATATAGATTTATAACTTCATATTCTAGTAATTTACGTGGCAGTTCGAAAAATATCCATGAATTATCATTTTTATATTGTATATATTTGATCCTTGAAATGATTTTTACTTATTGTTTTTTATTTTTTATAATTAGTTTGTAAGCAAGTGAATGATAAACTTGCTAATTATATTTTAGATTATCTTTTACTAAATATATTTAATTATAAATATATTTATATTTCACTGTATAAATAACTTAAGACAAATTTCTTATTTGTAAAATTAACATTAAATAATAAATTTATATGAGATATTAACTTATAACCTTATTAATATTTTAAAATAATTATTTTTTATATATACATACATTATAAGTGTTAAATCGAAGAAAATACAACAAAGTTTCTATTAATAGGATATACAAAAAATGGATAATAAATAATAGTATTAATTTAAAAAAGAAATGATATTAATGCTTAATAAGAAAAAAAGACAGCAACATGAAAATTAAATAGGAAAAATCATAGTTAGGAAATTTTTTCTCATCTATATGTTGTCCATAAATTATTCTAAATTTCATAAATAGTTTCTTTTTTTCAAATAATTATTTTTGAAGTAGTAAATTTATATGTGTAACCGTTGATTTATAGTTTCAAATCAAATAAAATATTAAAATAAGTTAAAAATGAATAATAATATTTTTAAGTTTAATCTCGAATTATTTATATCACATCACTAAAATAAAAACAAAAATAGATTAGATAGAAATAAATTAATTGATTGAAAATTTGTAAAAGTTAATCAATGCATTTGAATCAATTATTGATATCACATTATCTACGTTAAAAATAAAGTCTGATAAAGAAAAATTACCAATAGAAAAATAAAAAAATGATTAAAAAATTCTTTATTTAATATATGTTTAGATTTTTACATGGCTTAAAACACTTTAGGGGGCGTATTCAATTTGAAATTTCTAAATACTTATTAAGACGATAAAAATCATAGT